TGTCCCCGGCGGTGTTTGTGGAAGGCCCCCAGCCGGCGAAGTGGCAGCCAGCTGCCCAGCCTGCAGGAGGAGACGACCAGACGAACTTCAGATGTCCCCCCAGAGCCATTGGCCAGTCCCCACCAGAGAAGATCTGCTCACGAGGAAGACGAAGATGACGATGATGATGATGACCAAGGAGAAGATAAGAAAAGCCCCTGGCAGAAACGGGAGGAGAGACCCCTGATGGCATTTAACATTAAATGAGCTACCGCAGAGGCACCCAATCATGGAATATACAATTGCCAAATATCCCTTCTCGTGGAAGCATCTCCCTATCTATGGCGGAGGTTGAACCACGGCAATGGGGGGACAGGGACGTCAACGGCAGTACTGCTTGCTGTGTACATGGTAGAAAGGAAGACAAGTTCTTACGCAGAAGAAAGGATGACTTTGCTGGATGCCGCACCTCCAGGGACGTGGCCACAGGAGCATCTGAGTGTCCTTCCACGGACTTGATATGTCCACTCCAGGGACGCTGAAAAGCCACACGTGATGTTGCCACACCCTAACGATCACCTCAGTTTTCCCTCAGATTCTGGGAACAGATGAAACTCTTTTTGCATTGCTTGAATCAATTTTCCCGTGATAATGCTACTGTGAAGCTCTGAGAAATTCGGTTGGCCCTGTGTGTCCAAGGTATGCATTATCTCTTAAGGAAAGCTATGCATCGCTGCTTCGTGGTCTTATTTTGATAAAATTTTGCTTTGATTGGGTTTCATTTGGGGGGGGTGCTTTTTTTTTCTTTTTTCCTTAAAAAAACAATATTCCATTTGGTTGTAAAGATTTTTTTCCCCTGCATTTTGATCTGTTCTACTTTTTAGCGGTTTCTTTTAGTGTCTCTCTTCTGGAACTCCTCCTGAGTGTCATCTCTTAATATCCAAGCCTTTATAATGAAATCGTACTGGAATTTTTATCAACTAAGAGTCCTTCAATCCTGGTCCCATTAACTCCAAGTGCCTTTTTTACAGTGACAACAGACAGTCCCTCGCTTTTTTGTTTTTCTTAACTCTTTTAATTAAACTGCCTGGATTTTATAATGTTATTAAATGATGCCCCTTTTCTTTAAACTGCATGCTGCCAAGTGCCATTCGTGCTCCGCATCCTCATTTCCACGCAGTGCACTCTCTAGTTATTATGTGTGATGTGGATTCTGTTTAGCTAAGATAGACTAGAGGACACTTTAGAGATGCCCTCCCCTACTCCATCCCTGTGGGCCATGAGCCTCCATTATGGTTTTAGTGGCTGTTTGTATATATACGGTTACGTATTAACTCGGGAATCCTATGGGCTAATCTTGCTCACCCAGCGTGGGAGTATGGACTGAGCAAGTGGACTGAATGTGACTATTAAAAAATCTTATGTACTATCCAAAAGTGCCAGAATGACTCTTCTGTGCATTCTCCTTAAAGAGCTGCTTGGTTATCCAAAAATGAAAAATTCAAAATAAACTCTGAAGAATAAAAAAGGTTGCGTGTGAGCATTTTCATTCATTCTAAGCCATTAATCTACTTCAAGTTATTACCACTTTATTATTCATTCTGTAGTGAAATAGCAGTTGTATTTAAAGACTATCTCATAGACCCATGAGAACATCCAGATACAGTTAAAAGATTTTTTTAAACCCATCTTTGGGGACCAGCAGTTGGCATAATGGCTATGTCACTGGACTCCCATACAGTTGACTGCAGTTCGAGTCCCGGACCCGGTGGCTTAAACTCACAATGGGCACATGTGCATACGTGCCCAAGATCCCGAGAGGAAAATGGAGGACAAGGGATTGCAGTGTGGCCATGCCTCCTGGGGGTGATTTCTCACTTTCTGTCTCTCTTTCTGGCGAGCGCACGCACCCTATAGCACAAACCTCTCAAAAAAAAAAAAAAATCCACCTTTGTCTTTAGTTTAACTCAAAAATTCAAGGTAACATTTTGTTGTGTTTCAGGATCCATGACTGTACTTTACAAGAAATTTAGTGGGGTTTTGTTTCTGTTTTGTTTTTCTTTTTTAATGTTTTTGCAAAAGGATATGTATGCTTGCCAAAGAGATTCAATGAGAGGGAAAGTAAGAAATCTCCCGAGGGATAATGGACCTATTACAGTTCCTTCTCTATTCTCCTGGGATTTTAGACCTGCACACACACGTGCCCGATGTGAGTTTCAGGCCACAAAGTCCAGGACTCAAACCTCGTCCGGCTGGGAGTCCAACACCGTAACCACTACACCACCTGCTGACCCCAAAACTGGTGTTTTGTATTTAGTATTGTTATAATGCTAAGGAACAGCTTTGAGCAGATACCGTTAAAATGACCAGAATCATCCCAGAAGTATGAAACTCTTCGTCAAAGTTATTAATGGAGATGTTGAAACAGAACAGATTAATGGAAATAAATTAAGCCATATGAGTACAGTTAATTGCCTCCTTACAAAGTCATTATTCGTGGATTCTATGCGGGAAATTTTTTATTATTTTAATTTTCAAATGGTGATGTGTAGTATTTGGTTTTTAAGCAATAGAAGGATTGAGAGAATCCAGGATGGGAGCTATGGTTTAGTAAGCGTGGCACCCGTTGTTGGGAATGAGCAGTCTCACCAATAGGTGGCAGGCGAAGCCTTGCAGACTTTATAAGACTCCAGGGAGGCATCATGTTTCAATTTGCCTCAAAAGAAAAAATTGCCTCTCCAAGAATACCCAGGGCCAGACATAGGTGGTGGGAAGGAGGCAGCGTGTAGCGGTGTTAAAAGACCTGCCTGTTATCATGGGCCCCAGCTTTTTGCACCTCTGCTTCAGGTTGCTGCTAATGGAATCACCTCCTTAAAACATCTGTTGCCAGAAAAGGGCCTCTTTTAATGCACGGCAGCTGTAAAAGGCAAGTAACAGGTTAACTGTTAGTACTGAGATCTGGCAGGCAGATTGAGGGCAGGGTAAAGACTTCCCTTTCTACCTCCTCATTAGGAGAGACATACCTGGATCAGCAGTGACTGTGGAAAGTATGGAGTAGCCAACAGTGGTCACAAGATCGTACTGGAATTTTTATCAGCTAAGAGTCCTTCAATTCTGGTCCCATTAACTCCAAGTGCCTTTTTTTTACAGTGACAACAGACAGTCTCTCGCAACTTCTATGGCCCAGGAAGACCATGCAAGCAGGTTTGGTCAAGGGGAACTGGGTCTGCCCAAGAGGAAGTATAACTCATTCTAACAGTTATCCAAAAGAGGATTCAAAGGTTAATATTTTTTTAAGGTGCTAACATAGATAACCAGGCTAGAATTCTCTGTGACTGCAGACTTTAAACATTTTCCTTTATCTTCTCTCTAGCTTGGAGAGTAAAATATGTCACAGTATTCGAAATCAATTATATATTTGTCTGAAGGAAGTCTTCAAAGGCATCTCGCTCACGCCACCTAGTGGTGAGTTTCCACCTGCTGGTAAAAGACGGAGGTTTACTAGAACAGACAGCTCTCCAGGGTGCTCTGGCAAGGTGGAGTGAGGGTGCACAAGATGCATCGGCCACTCGTCCTGTATTCCAGGTGAGGTGGATGAGCAGAAGGGGACTGTGGTTTGTGGAACCCTGCATGGAAACGAAGTACTGGAAACAATAATGCATTCAGTTCTCAAAACCTTGTAAGGAAGGTGTATTTAATCTTTGTTTTATAGCTAACTTTATTTTGGCTTGGTGGTTAAGTAACTGAGGTCACCACAGCACCAGTGTGTTTCTCGAATAACCAGCCATCTGGAAATGAATGCATCGAAATTATAAATGCTTGTGATTGAGGGCGTGTAGGACACAAGTTACGAATAACAAGAAAATAAGAGAGGACTTGAAAAAGTATGTGGAAAAACGAAATTAAAGAATGGTGAAAGAAGTTCTGAAATTTTTTCTTTTTGGAGAGGTTTTTTTGTTTGTTTGTTTGCTATAGGGCACGTGCGCTCGCCAGACAGACAGAGACAGAGAGACAGAAAGCGAGAAATCACCCCCCAGAGGGGTTGGCCACGCCACAATCCCTTCTCCTACATTCTCCTCTTGGGATCTAGGGCACGCACGCACACACGGCCGGCGTGAGTTTCAAGCCACTGGGTCCAGGACGTGAACCGCGGTTGACTACGTGGGAGTCCAGCAACATAGCCATTACGCTAACTGCTGGTCCCAGAAGTTCTGAAATTTTTGAACAGTTTTCTCATAATACATATTTTCCATTAACTTTTTGAAGACTTCTCCTATATAGTACTCTGTTGTAAATTCTCTTTGACAATTGATTCTTACAGAATGTTTTCTTTGGATTTTGTCATAAGCCACTTGTGATAGACAGAAGAGTGTCATTCCGACATGAATATTGTTACTTTATTGCATTAATGATTAAGATGGAATTGAAGACTACAAAGATGTATGTCAGAATGTCACTTGTTCATCAGTCATGGAATGACATCTTTGTTGAATCAGATAATAGTCTTTGAATACTAAAAGACTAGTTCCTCAATTTCTTGTGCTATTTACAAAGTACTGACTCCAGGTTTGATACTGTTTTAACATTATTAACACTTTGGCATTATTAAAATTTTCTCTCATCACTTTCTTAAATCTGGACAATCAAGGCAGGAATTGTAGCATTTGCCAAAGAATATGGTGTAATTATTTTCACTGGGGCCAATTTCAAGCAACCAATATAACATCCCTATACACAAGAGCTGGGAAAAGATGTTGAGTAGCTCAGTTATATCATACTTCCACTAAGAAGATACAATGGAGAGAAATGACCTTAAGAGCATAGGTAATAGTAAAATACACAGTTGATCCTCATTATTCATAAGTTCTGTATTGCAAATTTGCCTCCTTACTAAAAGTAATTTATTTATTTGTAACCTCAAAACTAATGCTCGCGTTTTTACTGTCACTCATGGAGATTCACAGAGCAGCAAAGAATTCAAGTTGCCCAATGCATATGTTCCCAGCTGAGGTCAAACAAGGCAACCCTTGGGACCAGCAGATGGCATAAGGATTACATCACTGGACTCCCACATAGTCAACCACAGTTCGAGTCCCAGACCTGGTAGCTTGAAACTCGTGCCGTGTGTGTGTGTGTGTGTGTGTGTGTGTGTGTGTGTGTGTGTATACCCAAAATCTCAAGAGGAGAAAGCATTGTGGTGTGGCCATCCAGCCTGCGAGGTTGATTTCTCGCTTTCTGTCTTTGTCTCCAGCAGGTGCACTTGCTCTATAGCAAAAAATCTCTCCCAAACCAAAAAACAAACAAGACAACCCTTTGACTTCTTATTTCAGCTCTCATACCATGAATAAGTATCCTGTACCACCAGCAGTTTACCTATTGTCCCATTTTCTATACTTCTGTGCTTTTGTTGGTGATCTTGCTGTTTAAATGGCCCCCAAGCATAAGGCTGAAGTGCTGTCTGGTGTTCCTAAGTGCATGAGGGCTGCGGTGTCCCTTATGGAAAAAATACATGTGTCAGATAAGCTTTATTCAGGCATGAGTTATGGTGCTATTGGCCATGAGTTCAGTGTTAACTAATCAACAATATGTGCTAAGGTTCCTTTAAGCAGCAGAAACACAAAAACAAGAAAATGAGAGGCTCATGGGCACCTAGTCCCATATTTCCTTTAGGAACAATGGTTCTAGTATTGCACTCACTAATTCAGTGTTTGTAGCAACTTTATAGAACTTAACTGTCAGGACCAGCAGATGGCATAATGGTTACGTCACTGGACTCCCACATAGCTGGCCACAGTTCGAACCCTGGGCCTGGTGGTTTAAAACTTAGGTGAGTCAGGACCAGCAGTTAGTATAGTGATTATGTAGCTGGACTCCCATGTAGTCGACCGTGGTTCGAGTCCCGGACCCAGTGGCTTAAAACTCGCACCAGGCACATGTGTGTGCGTGCCCAAGATCCCAAGAGGAGAATGGACGACAACGGATTGCAGTGTGGCCATTCCCCCTGGGAGTGGGGGGTGATTTCTCACTTTCTATCTCTCTGTCTCTCTCTGTCTGTCTAGTGAGCACATGTACCCTATAGCAAAACCTCTCAAAAAAAAAAAAAAAACTCAAATGAGTCATGCATAGGTGCCCAAGTGGAGAATGGAGGCGAACGGATAAAACTCAAATGAGTCATGCATAGGTGCCCAAGTGGAGAATGGAGGAGAACGGATTGTGGCCTGGCCATCCCCCTAGGACGTTATTTCTCACTTTCTGTCTCTCTCTATCTCTTTGTCTCTCCAGTGAGTACACATACCCTATAACAAAAATATCTAAATATAAATAAATTTTTTAAAGTAAAAGAACTTAACTATGCAGATAACAAGAATCCACTATACAGCAGTCCCCTTCATCCAGCATTTTGCTTTCTATAGATTTAGCTACCTGTGATGAACTACAGTCTGCAAATATTAAAATAGAAAATCTCAGAGATAAACAATTCCTACGTTCTAAATTGTACACCGTTCTGAATAGCCTTATGAA